AAAAAAAAAAAAAAAAATTAGCAGGGTGTGGTGGTACACACCTGTAGTACCAGCTACTTGGGAGGCTGAGGTGGGAGAATCACTTGAGCCCCAGAGGTTGAGACTGCAGTAAGCCGTAATGGGGTCACTGCACTCCAGCCTAGGTAACAGAGCAAGACCCTCAGATAAACAAACAAAAAACCAAGAAGATGAGGAGGACAGTCCATGCTTCCAAAAAATACAGAAAACTGTACTCTTGTCAAAAGGCTGTAAAAGTCAAAACAGCTTTTCCCCTGGAACTATCTCAGAGATTGAGTGGATTGCTGATTTTCTCTCTAGTCAAGAATCATAAAATGCTAGGCTTCAGCTCTCTCAACTCTATAAAAATATTTCCTGGGCCAGGCACGGTGGCTCAGGCCTGTAATCCCAGCACTTTGGGTGTCCGAGACAGGTGGATCACAAGTTCAGGAGTTTGAGACCAGCCTGGTCAACATGGTGAAACCCCATCTCTACTAAAAATACAAAAATTAGCCAGGTGTGATGGCGGGCACCTGTAATCCCAGCTACTCGGGAGGCTAAGGCAGGAGAATCGCTTGAAAATGCAAGGTAGAGGTTGAGTGCGCCAAGATCGTGCCACTGAACTCCAGTCTGAGCGAAAGAGCGAAACTCTGTCTCAAAAAGAAAAATTATTTCCTTAAAAAAAAACTCATTAGCCTACCAATATAGCATACTATGTCTAAACAATGAAAAAATGTTTTTATTCCTACTGTCATCTGAATATTTTGTATATATGTTTATAAGAAATATTTAATTCTACCTTTCAGCTCATTTGCTTCATCACTTGGCTTTGAAAAGCCCTGTTTTTAAAGACAGCCTATATTATAAAAGAAAGAAAAAGGCTTTGTTGTCAAACACATCTGGGTTTGAATTCTACCACCTACTTTTGAATTTTTCTTTTGTAAAATGGGATAATACCACCACCCTGCAGGAATTTAGAGGATTAAAGATAATGTATGCTAAGAGCCTGTTTGTACATAGTAGGCAACTTATATTATTTTTCTAGTTTCACATCGCTATACCAGACTACATTTCCTAGAAAAGTCTGGACTTCTTTACCACTCAGCAATGATTCTCCAAACATTGTATACAATATAGGATACAGTTCCAAGTCTATGAAATCTTCTTACCCATTCTCTCTGGCGTTTTAAAGAATTCAGAGAGCTCTGTTAATAACTTCTCTCAGCCGGGCACAGTGGCTCACGCCTATAATCCAAGCACTTTGGAAGACAAGGTGGGCGGATCACCTGAGGTCGGGAGTTCAAGACCAGCCTGACCAACATGGTGAAAACCCATCTTTAAAAAAAAAAAATCTTCCTTCAAGTACTCATGTTCTATGAACTGGAGTAAGGCAATCTACCCAGGAACCCACAATAAAAGCCTCCCTAAGTTTTTCTCCCTCTTTTTATTTAATTTTGTTTTTTTGTTTTTTGTTTTTTTGTTTTTTTTTTTGAGACGGAGTTTCGCTCTCGTTACCCAGGCTGGAGTGCAATGGCACGATCTCGGCTCACCGCAACCTCTGCTTCCTGGGTTCAGGCAATTCTCCTGCCTCAGCCTCCCGAGCAGCTGGGACTACAGGCACGTGCCACCATGCCCAGCTAATTTTTTGTATTTTTAGTAGAGACGGGGTTTCACCGTGTTGACCAGGATGGTCTCGATCTCTTGACCTCGTGATCCACCCGCCTCGGCCTCCCAAAGTGCTGGGATTACAGGCGTGAGCCACCGCGCCCGGCCTATTTAATTTTTAAAATAATATTTTTTACTGTTATTATTGTAGAGACAGAGTCTCACTATCTTGCCCAGTGTGGTCTCAAATTCCTGGGTTCCCTTCTACCTAACCTAGCCCACCCCAAGTGCTGGGATTATAGGTACGAACAACCATACTTGGCCTCTTCTCCCTCTTGAAGTTTCTGAGGATACCCAAGATGGGAGGACTGTAAAGCAATCACCACAGATAACTATGAATAAGGAGCTCTGTTCCTTCTTTGGATTAAGGCATTCTGCTCTCCCTATTAGTAACGCCAAACACCCAGTGTTTATAGTTTGCTGGCTTTTAATTCTTTGGGTTTTTGTTTTGTTTTGTTTTTTTGAGACAGGGCTTTGCTCTGTCACCCAGGCTGGAGTACAGTGGCATGATCTCAGCTCACTGCAAGTTCTGCCTCCCAGGTAGCTGGGACTACAGGTGCATGCCACCTCAGCCTGCTAATTTTTGTATTTTTAGTAAAGATGGTATTTTGGCATGTTGGCCAGGTTGGTCTCGAACTCTTGACCTCAGGTGATTTGCCTGCCTCAGCCTCCCAAAATGCTGAGATTACAGGCGTAACCCTCCATGCCTGGCCTCTGGCTTTAATTCTAACAACAGTATTTCAGAGTATGTTAGGAATGCACTCTAACCCTTAAGTGCTCATTTCCAGCAGTGGAACTAAGGAACTTTTTTTTTTTTTTTTTTTTAAGAGGCAAGATCTTACTATGTTGCCCAGGCTGGCCAGAAACTCCTGGGCTCAAGCAGTCCTTCCAACCCAACCTCCTGAGTAGCTGGGATTACAGGTACACACCACTGCACCTGGCTAAGGGAACTTGCTATAAAAACATACAAGCCCGTTTATCTCAATTTAACTAATGCTAAGGAAAATCTACTTTCCATTGTGTTTCCATCTCAATATACCTTTACATCAGAAGTCTATTACCATTACCAATTTTTACCATTTATATTTCAATTTTTTTCTTAAATTGCCAGAAAGGATTTAAGATGAAAGGATGATGCTCCAAAGGTACAACTTACAATAAAACAATAAAGAGAGGCTTAAAACATCAAGAAGTACCCTCCTACAGGTTAGGTTTAGAAGAAAGGGTCCAATGTTGGATCCTAAGTAAGGTTAACAAAACATACCTGGTAATGTGGCAATGATTAAAGTACACGAGAGGAATACAGTCACTTGGCTACCATTAGAGGTAAACCCTATAGTAGCTTTCCAGAGCGCTAAGAAAAAAACAGGAAGAAAAAAAATGGCATGTAAGGCAAATATGTATGCGTCACTTTAGAACTTGGACAGACTTCCTTAAACAGTATCTTCAGAGGATAAACAGCAAATATCTAATCTCAGATACAGTGATAAAAATTTTTGCAATAACCCAATACATCAGACATACTATTAATACATTTCATTAATAAGATGCCATCCTTGTCATATTAATTACTCCCCAGTGCCCTTTTGGCAACCTCAAAGCAGCCTCTGTTCATTAATTTATCTGTATCGTAACACATTCCTGGGGTTAGGGGGTACTTGAAAAATCTGGCTTCTGGCCCAGAAATTATGTCCTGTAGAGGCAGAGATAAAGGACTTCTACAAAGAAGTGACAATTCATAAAATTCATCACTTACTAATTTTTGAAAAGCTTTCAAAGATGTTCTACTCACTCCAAGAGCTGAATGATTAAATCAATAAAGAGCAAGCATCCTCCTTTTTGACTAATTTTAACAGCAATGGAGTTTCTTAGGTATATTTGTGAAAATAAAAGATAAAGTTTTTAATATTACTATAAAGCTAATCTAAAACTCAATTTTTGGCTCCAAAATGAAGATATACAAAGTCACTACTCCATGCCTATTGCTGATTCAATTAATTCAGCTGCCTATGTTCCAAATGGGTGAGGGTAAACAGATTATCTTAGTTCACTGATAATCTACTTTAAAAAAAAAAAAAAAAAAAGCTAATTCAATCTCAGACTTAAAAACTAACTCTAACACCAATGTTATGCAATAAAAAGTCTTGTTTGGATACCGCTATTTCTCTTTTATAATCTGGATATTTCCTAGACACGTTCAGAATAACTTTTCTACAGTAGAAACAATGGAGTAATGAATCTATCTACTGAAAGCAGTTTAATAGGCACTTTATGATTTTAAAAGCCTATAGCTCACCTGAAAGAATACAAGACTTAAGAGCATGAAACTCAAGATCCCAGTCTTTCGCAACAGGGTGCACTCCTATACAATGTCTTCTACTAGAGTCTGTTTGCTTTTAAAATGCCAGTATTGTTTTAAACTGGCAACAAAAAGGCTGCTTTCTTTCAGCTCTCTGAAGACAAGCTTCTGTCTTAGGTTGGTCCCATTCAACACTAAGGACCATGGCACTGGGACTGATTCTTTTTTTTTTTGAGACCAGGTCTCGCTCTGCTGCCGTTACTAAAATGCAGTGGCGCAACCTCAGCTCACTGCAGCCTCTACATCCTGGACTCAAAACAATCCTCCCACTTCAGCCTCCCAAGGAGCTGGGACTACAAGTACATGCCCCATGCTTGGCTAATTTTTTGTTAACTTTTTGTAGAGACAAAGTCTCACTATACTGCCTAGGCTGGTCTTAAATAACTAAGCTCAAGTGATCCTCCCACGTTGGCCTCCCAAAAGGGCTGGGATTATGACATGAGCCACTGCACTCGGCCTGGCAGGTTCCTATATATTTAATTGACTGCACTTTAACAGGGTGCAGTGGCTCACACCTGTAATCCCAGCACTTTGAAAGGCTGAGGCAGGACGACTGTTTAAGCCTAGGGGTTCGAGACCAGCCTGGGCAATATGGCAAAACCTCATCTTAACAAAAAATACAAAAATTAGCCAAGTGTGGTGGCATGCACCTGTAGTTCCAGCTACTTAAGAGGCTGAGATGGGAGGATCACCTAAGCCCATGAGGTCGAGGTTGCAGTGAGCCATGATGGCGCTACTGCACTCCAGCCTAGGTGACAGAAACCCTGTTTCAAAAATAGATTGCACTTTAACTAAGAGGTTGGTGGTAGGAACTAAAAGGTCAAAAGCATTCTTAGCCTCCCACTCCAGCCATCCTAGGAAATACTACCTAATAAGATGTCACAATTCTTAAGTAAACACCTAAAATCCTGGAAATATAAAAATATCTTGAAGTTGGGTGCTGTGGCTATGTCTGTAATTCCAGCACTTTGGGAGGCCAAGATGGGAGGATCACTTGAGAGTATGGGCAAGAAAGTGAGACCTCACCTCTAATTAAAAAAAAAAATAAATAAATAAATAAAAATTAGCTAGGTATGGTATGCCTGTGATCTCAGCTACTCAGCTGAGGTGGGAGGATCACTTGAGCCCAGGAGTTCGAGACCAGCCTGGGCAACAAAGTAAGACCCTATCTCTACAAAAATAAAACATAACAAAACTTCAGAAAGATAAAAAATTTAGAGTGTGATCCACAGACTAGAAATACTGATTTACTATATACACAGATGTGACCTGGGAATTCTTACCTAGCACATAATGAAATAAACAGCCAAAGTTATCCCTTTTTCAACATATTTCCTTTTCTCCTCCTACCCTTCCCCTCGCCTGACATGGATCTTCAGAGTTCATAAAAACACAAATGATACAAATGCAATCTCAGCCCACCTCACCACCACCCAGGAGAGTCCTCACCTTACAATGGAGAATTTCGACCCTGGATGATGGTAATGAAAAGTTAATCAAACCTAAAATGATCACTGGTCTGAATGACATGGCCGCTTTCACTGGATATTATCAGTACTTAATTTTCATGTGCCCTTGCCAAAGAGATGTGAAAGAAGTCAACAAAAGGTTTAAAACTCTTCACCTGGGCTGTCATATTATTAAGATGGTCCAGCTGTGGAGGTGAAAAAAGGACTCTTCATTCCTAACTCTCTACCCCTGATTCACTTTAAAAAGAAATGAGGCCTTTTCCTCATATACAGTTTTTTGATAATTTGTTGATGAGGATCGCTGTACAGCCCAACAAGGAAAAAATGTATTCCCTTCATGGCAAAAAAAGGAAAGTACAGAGTAGTTGCAGTAGAGGGAACACTGTAGCACAAAGGGAAAAAATTACAACACTGCCAACTCTGATCAGGTGTGCTAATAGAGAGACCAAGAAGGAAGCAATGAATAAAAACTTACTGATGTTTAAGAATACATTTTAAAATATATATACACCAATATCTAATATTCTCTCTGTCCTCTGGTTATGAACCCCCACCAGGGGGGTTGTGTTCAGAAGACAACTCTAGGTGGGCACTTAACAAAGGACACGTCTAAGCTGAACAATTAAAAATCAGTTTGGTTTAAAAAAAAAAAAAAATCAGTTTGGAAAATTCACCAGAAAAATGTGTTCTAAAGCAAAATGTAAAGAAGTATAAATTAATGTATAACTTATTCAAAGCTATATCAATGATGTGCAAAGAAAACAAAATATTTTTTGAGTGTGTACCACGTGCTTTTAGATTACTAAGAGCTTTAAATAGATTCCCTATAATACTAACAATGGCCCTAGGAGGTAAGTGGTATTACCATACTTTTAGAGTTGTGGAAATTAAGAGTCAGAGAAGTTTAAGTAACTTGCTCAAGGTCACATAAGTTAAGAAACATTAGTATTTAAACCTTAAATTAAAGTCTGTCCAATCTCTAAAGACTGTACTTTTCTCTTTATATCTTACTGATACACACGCACACCATCAATAATAATTTTATTCCAGTCCATAATGAGCATTTTCTAATTCAGATCATCAGATGGAATAAAACTCACCAATGTCACTCTCAATCTTTTCCTACTACAAATTATAAAGATAGATGGAATCAGCCAGGCTTACCTTCTAGCCACTTAGCTTTTCTGTCACATGCCATGAACCTCTATTCTCTGCCACCAGAAACCTAAAGCCTTACGAAAACTGCATTTGTAAGTACGTTCTGACTCCCTTTTTGGCACCAGCCCATGCTGCTGAATACCCAGGATGTTTCTTCTGCTAACCAAGAATTCTTCAGACCAGCTACAAGAGAAAGAGCAGCCACTTTTTTTTTTTTTTTTTTTTTTACAAAAAGTTTCCCACTGTATCCTAAAAAGTCCGAATTCTGAAATAGACTGGACTCAGATACCAACTAAAGGCAGCATCACTCAACACTCCCCAGCTTTTAAGTCACAAGCAGCTATATATTCACCTCTAAATGCCAAGGGATGACAATCCAAAGCTGTGAGAAGAGGAGAGACTTGATTTTCAGAGAACTGAATTCTGCCTGAACAGAATTCAGGCAAACTAAGTCTCAGTTTTTAACAATGTAAGAAACATGATCGACACAAAGACAAAATACAAGGAAAATGAATAAAGAAGAAAAGACATGTGGGGGGGCACACATTCACTTCTAGGCAAAGTCATCTGAAGATATACAGCAATAGTTTAGGACAGAAAGACAAGAAGCCCACAGACAATTAAACTTGTAAAAGTAATTTAACCAGAGCTGGAACAAAGCCAAGAACAACACCCAAACTCTTTGGGAAACTGTGGTAGGAATTTTATGACTTTAGTGGTCAGCAGTTGAAAATCAGGGCAGTCTGTCTTGAACTCAAGAATTTTAATGCCTCCAACTCCCACTCACCTTTCCTCCTTTTATCACTGAAGTAAGGCCAGGCTGAGCTCCTGAGAAAATAGGTCTGCAGATTCACTGAAGGACTGAGAAAAGTTAAAGTTTACATGGCAAAGGTGTGTCTTCTACTAAACATAATAAAAATATTTATGAATACACTTTAATATTTTTAGACCTTCTCAAAACTATTTAAAAGCAGAATAATCTAATTCTAATTACTGAACTAATAACCCACACACATATGGAAATAAAATGAGCCAACATGAAGATTAGAAGCCAGGCAAGTAATCTCCCAGCTCCACTAAAACGTAAAGTCATTTAAAAGGATAACTTGAATCTTTTCAACGCTAAACCATAACCAAACAACCTCTAAATAAGAAGCCACAGAGCAGGGTGGGGGGAAATCCCGGAGAGAATGTGATAGCGCTAGTGCCGGTTTGTTTACAGAGACTCCAGTAACAATCATGAGTCAGAAATTCAAGCCACCAGATGCTTTCCAACTAACAGGGACCAAATGGGACTGTTCTAAGATATCCTAAAAGATTTGGGAGTTAGAGGAGGTAAACTAAGAGAATTATATTACAAAGGGTACAAGACCGTAAGACAACAACCGACTCCGGGATTCTTGGACCTCGGCCTTCCGTACAAGGTGCTGGGCCTGAGAACTTGGGATGGGGGAGGGGGGGACACTGCGCGGTGGCCCTAAGGTGACGGAGAGACGCAGGACAAACCGTGTCCCTCAATCTAAGGGGAGAAATAGGAGCGCACAAATGAGTCACCCAACGAAGCAAGGCGTCCCTGTGAACTGTGGGGCTGGCTCTTGGGGGCAACCCCAAGGCTGACCTGAGGAAAAGACAACCAGTACTCCCGGCGATGACTTCGGGTCAGCGGAAGGAAAAGACCTGAGCGCTAGGAGCTTGGGAAAGGGGTCAGGCCCATCCTTAGGGGAAACCGGCTGAGGAGCTGGGAGGCAGGCCGAGCCGGAATGAGACACAGACCGGGTAGGTCAAGGGAGGGTGTCCGGCTAGGGCAGTTACAAGCACGGGAATCGGCGAGGCTCAGCAGCCCGCTTCCCGTCTTGGGTCATCCTTCTGCTAGCGGCTGCTCCGACTGTTCCAGGCCCAGCCGCCCCGTCCACTGCCACCACCGACGCCGCCGCCATCTTACACTGGCCAGCGGCCGCCACCACCGCCGCCTCCGCTCTCTGCGCTTGCGCCTGCGCTGCCACGCTTTCCGGCCCCGTTTGCGACGATGTGCTCAAGAAGACTGAGGGAAGAGTGGTCGCGCGAGCTCACCGCTCGCAACCCTCCTCGAAGGACGCACAAGGGGCGGGGTTTAAGGCCAACGGCAAACAGAGCGAGGGGCGCGTGCGCGTTACCGAAGAGGCAAAGTTGTTTTTGTGGTTTCTTGAGGCTCGCTTCTCTAGTGATAAGCAAAACAAATGCGAGTTAGGGGCTTCCCAGAGTTGTGATGGAAATAAACTAAATTTCCAAGGGATTGGCAGGCCATTTCCTGGATGATGGCCAGTTCTGTCGTGTTTGAACACTGGGAACGAGCAATGATTGGCAGAAGGATTTCTTCTGAATATCCGTTTCCTTTCAGGATTTTGTTTCCTTAAGTGGTTTCTATACTATCGAGGCCCATTTTCCCCTGGGAGTCTCCATTTACGTATTTTTAAAGAAGGGGCTCAGTAGCTTGAGGTGTAGCTAAGCTATTCCAGAGGCTCTTTTCTGAAGAGGTGTAGAGGTGTGGTGTGGTAAAGGTTCCCAAGAATGGGTCCGGTGATGGCGGGGTGTCTTTTGTACTCGTTTCGTTATGACACCTACAGGAACCGTGCAGAGGATTACTCCCAGCTGCGAGGCTGGGGAATTTTTTTTTTACCATAAGGCCGGGTTGCAAAATTCTAACCCTTTTTCACCTCCCCGCCCACTACTTATATATTACAGGCAGTAGACACTTACCTGGTTTGTCTACTTCCATTATTGCCACTACAGTTAAACACAAGGCAGCCAGAGTGACTTTTAAAAATGTAAGGTCTGGGCTGGGCGCGGAGGCTGAAGTCTGTAATCCCAACTCTTTGAGAGGCCGAGGCGGGTGGATCACCTGAGGTCAGGAGTTCGAGACCAGCCTGACCAACGTGGTGAAAACCCCGTCTCTACTAAAAATAACAAAAAATAGCTGGGCATGGTGGTGGGCTCCGGTAATCCCATCGACTTGGGAGGCTGAGGCAGGAGAATCGCTTGAACCCGGGAGGCGGAGGTTGCATTGAGCCAAGATCGCGCCATTGCACTCCAGTCTGGGCAACAGGAGCAAAACTCCCTCTCAAAAAAACAAAACAAAACAAAAACCCTGTAAATTCTGGCGTGGCACGGTGGCCCATGCCTGTAATCCTAGGACTTTGGGAGGCTGA